TTGAGCTTCACAAATAATGAATGTGCACATCAAAACAAAAGTTGTGGATGTTAGTAAAAATGTATATATGCAGCTAATACGAACAGAGATGGCTAAGAACCTTCCCTTGCAGCCCAAGTAGAGTATAAGTTGGCCCTGATAAATCCCAACATAGCTGCATGGTTTCCAAATCAGAAGACTATTTCTGGAGCATAGTCTAGCATTGCCAATTGCAACAGAACTACATATTTATGTTGGCAAAGCCCCATTGTTTGCTGACCCTTCAGACCCATACAAAGTCTATAAATAAAGGCAATGAAGTTTGTCTCATTAGGAGATATGCATATACATTACACATCTCTGATACTGCAGAAAGATCTGGAATAATAGTAATCTTCTCTTTTTTTTAATTGAAACTTAGTTGATTGTACATGTCTGTGGGGTACAGAGTTGCATATCAATACCTATGTGCAATATGTGATGCTCAAATAAGGATAATTAGCATATTCAATATTATACAATATTATTGTTTTTCATATCCCTTTATCAATTCCTCCTCTACCCTACCTCCCCCTCCCCTTTTCCCACCTCTGGTAACCTCGGTGGTTCTGTTCTCTTCTTTTGGAAGTTCAAGTATTATTGTGATTGTTGTATCTTTCTTTCTTTCTCTAAGTTCACCCATGTTGCTGCAAATGGCACCTAATCCAGCTTCTTTACAGGAGGACAATACTGAAAACAGTATGGCTAGTCTATGTTAATTCAATTATATTTATAAGTATTTTATAGGCTTGATTCAACCTCTTTAGGATTAAGATCAAAATGGCAAATGTTCAAAACATTTATGGCATCATAAAGCACTAGAAAATAATTCATTTATGAAATATATACTTGGTTCATGGTGTTATTTTTCTAGAATAATAATATTTACTCTAATTTGGGGTTTCCCATATGCCAGACATTGTTCTAAGCATTTTACTTATACTAAGGTATTCAGTCTTCCAAAGGGTCCTGTGTTGTTGGTATTATTGTCATGCTCATTCTACCTATGAGGAGACTGAGAGGTACAGAGAGTTTAGATAATTTTCCCAAGGGCAAGTGGAGAGTTCAGAGGAATAAAGATTGTTATGCACCAGCTCTTACAGAGAGGAAGAAGCAGATCTAGTATTTGAGCCAGAACAGTCTGGCTGCAGAAGTCATGCTCTTAACTACTACACAACACAGCCACTAAACAATTTGTAGGCTCTAATTGATATGTGTAATGGTAAAAAGGACATATGTTTCACATTCATATAGTCTGGTTTAAATCTCAGCTCTGCCATTTACGAGCTGTGTGGCCTTGGACAAATTATTTAACCTCTCTGAACATGCTAATAAACAATTTGTAGGCTCTAATTGATATGTGTAATGGTAAAAAGGACATATGTTTCACATTCACATAGTCTGGTTTAAATCTCAGCTCTGCCATTTACGAGCTGTGTGGCCTTGGACAAATTATTTAACCTCTCTGAACATGCTAATTTTCAACCCCGTAGTGGGGGATGATATAGCCTATCTTGTAAAGTTGTTGCATCTGCATTAACTGAGCATAGTACATAGCATACAGTAAGTATTCAATAATTTACCATTATCATTGCTTAAAAAGTAGCCCCAAATTTAATATTTTATAGTACCTGCATAATTCTCTATTCGTTCACAGGTAAATTAGTGAATAAGTTTCAAACAAATGGAAGTACATTCGGTCATAGTTCTTTAGGAAAAAACATCATTGTAGCTAGATGTACCCTAATGAATATCATTTCTACATTAATAGTACTCTCATCAGGATTATTTCAAAATTCTAATACTTAATCTACAAATTGAAAGGGTTAAATCCATGGTAAGAGTTATTGATAAGTCCATTTCATAATAAAGTTAAAAAAAAAACTAATTCATCAGCTATAGTTGTGTAGTCAGTAAAATACACGAAAATGTTGAGCAATATATGCAGTTTTATTGGCTTAAAAGATATGTGTGTCTTTTCAAAATCAGCTATAAAAATTGATCTCATCCCCATTCCATCAAGAAGTCAATAGCAATCTTTGATTTTTTTGTTTTTCTCTCTACTCCTCTTGTAAGAACCTCACATCTAACGAAGATCAATTTCCAAAGATGAACCTTAGGGAGTTAATGATCTATCAAATACACCTACTTAAAAGAGAATACAAATCCTTACACGGAAATAATATTTGGCTTTATGCACAAGTGTCACCAAAGCTGAGCAGAGAAAAATGCTCAGCATTAAAGATTAAAGAATCAGGCATTGTGGTCATTGCCTGCACTTCTGTAGTCCCATTCCACAGTCTAAAATGATCCTTCCTTAAAGCACTGTCCTACACTATCAGGAACAGGATACTTTGTCTCTAAATTTCAAAGCTCTTTTTATACACCATATACCACAATCAAAGACCTCAGTTTCTCCGGGTCCTACAAGAGCTCTTGTTCAAATGACATAACCATATTCATGACTGTGCCATAATAGGTCTGGGAGGCATATTTTGAGGCAACTTGTTAAGGACAGTTCCTCAGTCATTTGGCATGTTGGAGGCCATGACCTGGATCTGAACCTTTGCTCTTTCTCACTTTTCAGAAGTCATAGGACCTCTCTAAGCTTCAATTTCTTTACCTTATTTAGAGGATTATGTGATTTGTATATCTAAAACACCTAGTACACAGTAGACAATAAATGGTAGACATTGTTTTAGTTTTTTATTTTATATACATTGATACATGTTGAGGTGTTTTGATCCAGAATTGTTTTAATGTACCCTTTAGCAAAGGGAATAAAATTAAATGATATTACTGCAAGTCATGTTTTCAAATAAGTATCAGTGAACTACAACAGTATCTTTGATAGCCTTCCAGACTGTGGTGAAAGAGACCTACTATGTATCACTACATACACAAGGGTCATGACTGGGAAGAAGGGTAGGAATCACAAAAGTTCTCAAATTTAAACTTTGGATTCTCTGTTCAAAAGAGATTATGCACAATCTCAGAGATACGCTAACAGGATTAAAAGGAGACGTTTATCACAGTCATCACAGTCTTAAATCTGTATTTTGTTACCTATGGCTATACTACCTAAGGTGTACTATAAATTGGTATTTTTCATAAATTTTCTAATTATCATATGAACAGCCCAATTATATTGCATTGTACTTTTTGGTTTTAAAAGCAAACATTTATAATACAGAGGAATTAGATAATCCTGTTCTGGCATGTCTTCATTTCTTAATATATTGGGATCTTTGGATAATAATGTAGCTTAAGCCTCTTTTTACATTTAAAAGCTTCTGCCACAGTATAAAGAAATTCATTGATTATCTAGTGTGATGTAAAATATGGTTCTACTGTGATAGTAAATACATATTAAATTGTAATGATAATGCTAGAGTTCACTTTTACTGAAAGCACTATATAAAGTACTTTTAAAAGCATTGCCTCATTGAATCCTCAACAATTGTACAAGATAGGTACTATTATTTGTTTCATTACACACATGAGAAAACAGAAGCCTAGAGCAGTTAAATAACTTGTCCAAGTTGGAGGCATGGTATCTGAACCTCAGCAGTCAAACTCCAAAGCCCACCCTCCTCCCCAAACACTCTAGTGGATTGCATAGATTCATGACCCAGACAACTTTCATTGGCTTTTTTTTTTTTTTTTGTATTCTGACTATTTACTATTCCAAGTTAATTTTATCCTTTTAAACCCGTTTCCAAAACCAACTTTTTGTTCCATGGGTTTACCTTTTGAGTGTCCTTAAAAATAAGTATCTCTTTACTTCTGTAAGGTGTCTCTTTCCACCTTTAAGTGAAGCTTACTTAGTTCCCTGGTACACCACAGGTCCTCAATGCTCCTTCAAATTAACAGTGAATGCTTTCATTGGTTTTTTTTTTTTTTTTGTATTCTGACTATTTACTATTCCAAGTTAATTTTATCCTTTTAAACCCGTTTCCAAAACCAACTTTTTGTTCCATGGGTTTACCTTTTGAGTGTCCTTAAAAATAAGTATCTCTTTACTTCTGTAAGGTGTCTCTTTCCACCTTTAAGTGAAGCTTACTTAGTTCCCTGGTACACCACAGGTCCTCAATGCTCCTTCAAATTAACAGTGAATGCAACTTCTTTTTTGCTTACTCCACTTCTCTCTCTCAAGCCCTTTCCCAAGCGTCTCCCCACTCTGATTCTAACTGCTTCAAGTTGGTGCCTCCAGAACGGTGCTCTGGTTTGCCACCCCCTGTGCTTGTAGGTCTGGGGGTGCTGAAATCTGTAGGCATCTGCATCCCCACTTATCCTGACTACTGTGGTTATGAGGGGCCTCTGTTGAATGCAGACAGCCAGTCAGCCAAGTCGAAATTTATACCAGAAATCTATTACCTAATTTATAAACAAAATGACATGAAATCAGACTTGAAGATATCAAAAACATGTCTAGTTTCAGATTTAAGCAAGAAAATCCACATTGTTACTGTTTCCACCACAGAATAATTTACTGCAACAGAAGTTTGGGATCTTATGCCAAAAATGAGGTTCTCTAACCAATGTCAAGGCCAATTATCTTGTGGTAGATCCCACAACAAAAGCAGACTATTGTGATTAGAGTCAGAAGCACCACCCAGAGAAGCTGGAAAGCTTCTGGGGATTTCTTAAGGTTAGTTTTTATTTTTTCTTCCCTGTGTGTCTGTTTAAATAAACTACCAGAAACACTGTGTGTGGGCGCTGAACATCTTAGATTGGTTTGGGAGACAATGACAGGGGCGATCAGTTGGGAGTGAGCTGTTGCAGGTTTGTTTTGATTTGAGCAGGAGCCATGCTGCAAGGCTGTGCACTTGTGACACAGCAAGGATTACCATGGCCAAGGCCCTTCCGTGTGTGAGGATCTCCTCCCTTCCCTAATCTCCTTCCCAAAACTCCTGCCAGTAGCCATCCTGTGGTTTCTTACTAGGAAGGAAAAGCCCAGGTGGCTGTTCAGGAATACTTACCCCACAGTAAAGAACTGCCTCATTTCCTGTCTCCGAGACCTCATCAGTTGCTTATACTCCCCGATCCGGAGCTTTTTGCCATCAACAATGCAGGTGCGTTTTGGTCGGGGTTTGTATTTATAGTTTGGGTACTTCTCTAAGTGGATCTTGCTTAGCCGGGCCTGCTCTTCATAATAAGGTTGCTTCTCTTGGTTGGACATGGATTTCCAGCGAGATCCTGGACATAAAAATAGCCTTAAGTATCCAAGTGGTTAAGGCAACATATTCCAGGCAAATACAACTAGATAGTCTTTCCCATCACTTCACTCAGCTGGGCTGGGTAGCTCCTATTACCACATACCACTGAGGCTCCCAACTAATCTTTTAGACTATAGAGCAAAGAACAATTTTGTATATAGTGTACCTATCGTGTTATTTCTGTCAATGATTTAAAGTTGATGCTAATATATTGTTTTAAAATATATCTTTGTTGCTTAAAGATCATCTCCTACACCAGGGTCTTTCTTCAATCCATCTGCCTATCTCTCTCAAGAGGGTTAAAAGTCTAAACTTCCTAAGCATACTTTTGAATATCACAGGATTCTTAGGAAAAGCTCTTTTGGCCCCAAAAGTTCAAACATCTCCCACACTCCAAGTATCTTTAGCAGAGCTATCCTTTGATAAGATGTCAGCAGATGTATATTATTCCATATACAAAAATCTGCTGTGCACACACTGTCTACCTTGGCCTCCAGCAATTAAAAAAACCTAAACTCTACTTAAGAAGTTATAGATTTAGAACCGGAAGGTACAGTTGAAATTATAGATACCATTTACAAGTACTATAAACAATCATTCAAAGCTGTACCAATAAAAGTACAAAAAAATTTAATATGGTTTATACAGGAAGAAGGAAAAGTATTCACTTCTCTAATGTTGTTTATAAAGAATTACCTAAACACTTGACGGAGGGATGTGTTTTTTTACGTGTATCGAATTGCATTTTTGGGTCTCACTGGTGAATAAAGCAGTAGCAGCCGTGGAGATTGGATATTAGCTATTCTTCAGTGGAGATTTTTCATACATAAACAAATGGAAAAGTTGAACAAATATTCTCCATAGCCAGCAATATCCTGGTCTGCCTTAATAACACATCCATCCCTGTTCTTTCTTGATTGTTGTGCAAAAGTTGTGTAGAAAGTGTACATGGATAAGCACCTCTGTGTTCTGCTGGCTCCCAGCAGCTTAAAGCCCCAGTTAACAGAGGATTCTTGGTCCTGTTGAGATGCTTGTCCTCAAAGTTTACATTTTAATGAATATACTTACTATACTCCTAATAATTTTTCCCAGAATGCACATCAATAATTAAATGGAAACAGAGAGGTTCTGTGCCCATGTGAAAGCTTACTCTCATTGCTACTAAAATAGCAAGAAAAAATATGAAAATCTCAAAGTTAGGTATCAAATTGTGAGGCCAGAGAAGCACTGATTTTTTTTAGAATGTCTTTTAATTTGAAAAATATATAATATTTCCATTAGGAACATTTTGGTCTGAAAGGTATTTAAATTCAAAAAAATAACATACTTATGCATATTTCTGAAGCTCTAAAACTAAAACCCCTCTTAATTATAATGACATTTAGTATCCACCTTGAAATTCAAAAGGCAAAAGGCAAAAAAAAGAAAAACTTGTATTTTAACATTTCACCACTATTTGATTTTATGTATGTTTTAAATTTTCTTAGAGGTCACTGCCTAAAATGTCTCAGAATCAAGTTAAATTATTTATACAGTGACAAAACATGTGTATTTGTGTATGTCCAGATCACTGATATTTACTCAGGTTAAATATTTATTGCTTTTGAACAAAACATTTAAAAAATAAAACCACAGTTTGTCTCTAATGTTTTTCAGCTTCTTAAACGGCTCCCTTTGAGATTTTGTCACATCATGACAGCTTAAATAGAACAGTGCCTTCTGTGTTTTTTCTTTTTAAAGAGGAAACATGTTGACTGTAATGCTGCATGTTGAATAAAATATGTTCAATATGTTGAGCACAATAATTCCAAACTGTATAATCTGCACTAGGCAAGCTTTACACTAATAGAACAAGACTTGAGTTTAATACTGAGAAACGGGAGAATCACTCTGGCAATTTACCGCAAAATGGGCCCCTGCCCTGTGATCTGTGTGTTCAGCTCACTGCTATGAAATTTAAACCAGTCATATCTTATTAAAGTAAATGTAGCTTTATTTTACAAGTTTTAAAGTTATCATTAAAAGCATTGTTCTGCACTCCATGAATTTCACACCATTTTTAGGTTCACCCCTAGTCTTGATGAAGTCTTTCAGTGAGACATATGAACCCAAGAATATTAAAGCAGAAAATTAGAGTGTATGAGTGTTTCCAAGGCTTCAGAGCAACTTGTGAATTTAAGAAGACTGAATAATAAAAGGAGATAAAGCTTGTCTCCATGATTCCTGTTTAGCAGTGACCTCTCAAGAGTTACTAAATTCACAATATTAACACATACTATAAATAGGTTTGTCTCTAAGTTTTCAGCCAGTTCTGCCCCAGCACCTGGTGGCTGTAAAACTCCTAAACCTAAATGCCATGTTGTGGGATGGGGAGGTAGAGATGATGACAAAGGCTCCTGTAGCAGCTGGCTGGGCTTCATCTAACTTCTGCCAACTGCAGTCTCCCTTAGGAGCCTAGTTCTGCCCCTGCTTCCCACTCTTGCGGCACTCACGCGGTAGATCAGCAGAAGCTGTGCCACTGCACTCACCTAAAATTTTGCTGATGTTGGAGTTATGCATATCGGGGAAGGCCTGAAGGATTTTCCTCCTCTCATCCTTCGCCCAAACCATGAATGCATTCATTGGTCGCTTGATGTGTGGCTCGCTGCTGGCACGGCCGCGGGCGTCCCTGTAGACTCGTGCTTCAGCCACAGTGGCACCTCCTGTTGGCCAACAATAATACTGCTGTAGTTTAGCTGCAGAGCCATTCATTGCTTTACTTCCTGTAATGTCAGGGCAGGAAGAACAAGATGAGTGCAAAGCATTATTATGTGCATAATGTAACAGCTTGCACCTGATTCCCTTGTTTTCCCTAGGCTCTGCTTTCCTTTTCTCAGTGAACTCTTGGAAGCAGAAGACAGAATCAAATGACCATTCTACAAGCCCTTCTGATGTCAAAGTCAAAGACACACTGGGCAGAATTAATTTTGCATGTTTTTACACACAATGCAGGTGCAATTTACTACAAAATCAATTCTAGCTGATTGTAAGGCAATGACTGGCATTATTTTATGGTAAACTTTCCTGTTGTAATTCCTTCTTTCAAAAGCAGACTCTTACCTGTTATTTTGGCCTCATTTACCAAAAATCACAGCCACTTCTCTGCTCTTCGGGGGGGGGGTTTATATTTCAGAGGACAGCACAAATAATGAAATATGGCCAAGGAAGGACAAGAAACACAGATCCACGGGAGAGTGAAGGAAGCCTTCCTGGGAGGAAAGCAGCAGCTAGGAAAGGCCTTGAAGGATAATAATAGATGGCATCCCACAGCCCGGGTTCAAATCCCATCTCTGCTGTTCACCAGCTGCGTGACCAAGACAAGCTACTTTACTTTTCTGTGCCTCCTTTTCCTTATTTGTACAATGGGGACAAAAAAAATAGCTCCAAGACCATTGGGTGTTGTGATGATTAATTGAATTAGTACATGTATAGGGCCTACCCCATAGGAAGTGCTCAATACAAGTTAGCTATTAAATGGCTATTATCTGTTAAGTGGGGCTAATAATAGAGCTTATTCTGCTGCCAGCATAAAGAGGAGAAAATTCTGGTAAAGCACTTAGCATAGGACCTAGCACATGGTAAGCACTAAATAATGTTGCTATTCATTGTTATCGTCATTGTTGGCAGCGGGGTGGGGCAGAGGGGGGAGTGAAAGGCAGGCAGTGCAGGGCATTAATTAGCTCCCTTCCTCTCTTTCCGGGTTCCAGGCCCTCCGTTTGGCCCCACGCCCTTGGCTGCCAAGTGTCATCTTCAGATCCCCAGCCATGAATCCCCCCGGAAGCTGGAGCAAAGGGAAGGCTGATTTGGGCCACTTTCCTCTGTTCTCAATCAAATGTGCTGCTTTTCTGCCTGGCTTCACACATTGTAAAAGGCAGCCGCGTGTGGATTGCTCAGTGTCCACACATCGGGTTCCTCCTGACCCGCTGTTCGCCCGCTGATGGATCCGAAGCCCATTATTGTAATGGATTTGCTGTTGGGAAGAAGGGGCATCCGCCTCATAAATCCCTGCCCCGGGGGATCACCTCCAGCGGGCCGTCCTCCACGTAGTGGAGTTTACTCTAACGGATTTGTTCAGTGATTTCTGAAAGACAGATAAGCTCTAATGAGTGCCCTGAGATGATACCACTCAGAGTCAAGATAGAAGAAACACAAGACTTTTTGGAGCAACGATTTGAGTTCTCTTTCTTTTTTTTTTTTTCAGTCCACCTTCTGAAAGCGTTGTAATACCGTCTTGCTGTTAGGTTAAAAAAAAAAATACTGCTAATGAAATGCATAGAAAAGTAAAAACATGTCATGCAAATTAGACACCTTTGGGGATTTTGAAAAACTTGTTTGAAGGGCTAATTAAGAAGCTATTAAAAATAATTAATAATAATCTGCTTTTCCCAAATTCTTTTCAGTTCAGAAGTGTAAGTGACGTCATTTTTATTTCACTTTTTAAAACACGTAAGTAGCTGCTCCGTTTACTGGGATTTTTTTTTTTTTTTCAAATAGCAGGTCTTCGTTTACCTGAAAATATTTTTCTAAACTTTTAATGATTTTTTTCAAGGTAATCCCATTTGTGCCCTTCCTTCCTCATGTTTTCCTTTTCTGCTTGAGCTGGTTCATGCAGCAGATCGTTCAGCAAATGCGGTCAATGCACCATCGCAAGAGTGATTCTAGGTCTCACTGGGAGAAAATTGTTGTGAGTTACAGGAAATTAAAAAATTCCTGCAATACCAACCCACTTCTCAAAGTCAATCTGTGGTATCCCAGCATCCACTCGACTCTGAAGTCAGGCCAGAATGATTTTTGAAGAGTAATTTCCAGCCTTATAAAGGGTCACGTCGTGTATTGAAGCCATATTTGCTTCTGTGTTTTGTAAATTTCGAACTCATTACTAAACCTTTGTCTCTTCCACCCAGTGTCTGGCTCTTACCTCGTCCTCATCAATCTGAGCCTTAAAAATCTAATGAAAAATGCCAGAACACGTTTTGCACGTGAAAATGTGATAAAACACCAATTGTTACAAACCTGGGGAGGAACTGATTTTCAAGGATGGGCGAGGAGGCTGGCTGCTGCTCTTTACAGCCAGCTTATGGCTAGGTCTCAGGACACCCCCAGGAATACAAAGAAATAAACAGGATATTCCCACTCTCCTCTGAGCCCCACTGTTCCCTGTCTTTGATATAAGCCACAGGCCGTGTCTACTCCCCCAAATTCCAAACTGTTCATGCCCTAAGCACCAGGCTAGAAAACTAGCAGTGTCTCAATTTTCCTTTTAGAAGGCATGTGTCAGAGGTCTCTGTGTTCCTGTGGAATGGTGTTGGCCTCAGCCTGTGTTCCAAGATAGTAGCTCAGTTAAGCCGTGGACACCTTGAGAATTTCACTTGGTATCTCATAATGGCCAGAGAAACCCCACCATTGGGTTCTGTGGTTTTCTCCAAAGAGATGGAGATGGAGATGATCATGGTCTTTGGCACATTAAGAAGTTGATGAAGGCTGTGGGACCTTCTGAACACACACATACACACACGCACACACACATGCACACCCACACGAGCACACGCAGTCTCGCTCTCCCTCTCTCTCCCTCTCTCCTCCTCTCTCTCTCTCATTCTTGTTTTTGTCTTGCATCTCATTTTAAAGAGTCTGCACTAAGATCTTTTGGTGTAGGTATACTCACCTGAGCTCCCTTCACCTGGGTAGATGGAGTCCATGTGGAGAAATGGAAAAAACATGAACTTGATGGCAAGCTGACAGGTTTGCAAATGAGTTCTGCCACTTCCTAGCTGTGTAGCCTTGGACAAGTCACTTGACCTCTCTGCGTCTTCTTTTCCTCACATGCAAAACAAAGATGATAATAGCTAATTTTCAGGTTTGTGCTGAGAATGGGCAAAAACATGGGCAAAGGGCCTGGTGCCAAATCTGACATACAGTAGCGCTAGGGAAATGGAGGCCCATCTTTTGGCCCAGATGGTTCTGGGCTCTGCTTTAAGAAAAGCAGGTGGGTCCATTGAAGTGGCTGCTGGGGAATCATTGCTGCGTGCTGCCCTGAAAACTACAGATTCGGGGATGGAACGGCTCTGGAACAGCTCTGTTCTTTAACACCCAGCCTGACACCTCCTAATGAAATGTAAATGAGGGTTCTCACAAGCCAGGCATTTGCTTTGGAGGGGCCATAATAATCATATACATTGTATATTGACAAAATAAAAATTAAAAAAAAAAAAAATCACAGCCACTTCAAACTATATGTTTCTCTAGATAGAATTCTTTTGCACAATATTGTGCCTTGGTCTATGCTAAATCCCACCCGTCCTTCATGCCCCTTTCAAATGTTGGTGTGTGTCATGAGTTAATTAATTAATTCAATGGAAAATATGAATTGACCCATTTCTATGAGCTAGGCTTTATGCCAGGTGCTAGAGATACAAAGGTGAATAAAATATCTCCTGCTTTTAAGGAGCTCACAGTTCAGAGGGGAGACACAATTATAACAAAAGGTCTGATAAGTACTGCAATATTGAAGTTAACAGGGCACCAAAAGAACACCAGGCAGGGTGGCCAGATAATGCTTCCTAGGAGACATGATTTCTAAACTGAGTCTTGAAAGAAGAATAGGAATCAACAGGTGAATGGAAGAGAAGAGAGAGTGGGCAGGGCAATTCAGACTAAAAGAACAGTATTCGCAGTGTTGCTCCCCAGACCACACTCATTCCTCTTGCTTTCAGGCTACAAGCCCCAAAGTAATTATTGTTTATGTGACTCTCTCCCTCTGATCTTTCCATCCTCAGGAATATGAGATCCCTAAAGTTAGTGATTATGTTATACTCATTCTTGTATCCCCAGGATTTCTCCCATAATAGATATCAATAAATATTCATTAAGTAAGAGATTATTTGGTTTTCAACTCATATGCAAAAGTAATAGACTAAGAGGTATTCATTTCAAGGATCTGGACATATTTTCTGTGGTTTAAGGGTAGTTCTTTAACACCCATGAAACAATCTCTATATTCCCGATGTTTCATAGTTTCCAAAGAGCTGACTCTAGTAACATATGAGTACTAGATTGAAAGCTCCTTGAGGATAGAGTTGGCCTGGGTCTCATTCACTGCTGTATTTCTAGGATCCAGTGAAGTACCTAGCACATGTAATTTCAATTAGTAAAATGTGTTAAATTAATAAATGATTGACTGATTGAATGAATGAATGTAGCTCTTGCTTGTTTCTCATGCACCCTACCAGTGTGATACACTGATATATACTTTGCAATGTGATAGCTAGTGAATATCTCCCTATAGACTAAGAATTTCTACAGTTAAATGTAAAGTGGTTGGACTTGACATTTAAAAGTGGATAGCCTCAACCAAGGCTTCTAAGGCATAAGGAGGAAAGCTTAACCCCCAAAAGTTTAGAAGCAAAATATGCATTAAAACCAACATTCTTATATTCTAGAAGTAAATCCTTTTAGCTCAGTGAAGTTATTATACAGGAACAACATAACCCAATCAATCTCTGGCCTTTCTACTCTATTTCTAGATATCTTGGTTAAGTAGAAATTTGTTTGTGTCAAAAGCAGTATTATTTGGCAAAAAATGGTCATCATTTACTACAAACAAAAGACAGGATAAAAAGTAGAATTGGCTAATATTGTAAATTTTTTTCTAAACATTAAGGAGGGCAGAGAGGGCACTTTCTAAAGATCATGCAAAAATAACATATTTTATAAACAGCTCTTC